GTGGACGATTGTATCCCATGTGGCTGTTGGTCACACATCCCCGATGTGACCTTGATTTTGGGGTGGAGGGGATGGAGATGGGGATGGGGGAACATGGCCCTGGCAACCTGCCCTGCTGTGGTTGCTCCCTGCTGTGGCTGCTCCCTGCTGTGGTTGCTCCCTGCTGTGGCTGCTCCCGTCTCGCTCGCCTCGCCGGCACTCTCACTCTGCTGCCGGCCAACCAACCACCGTCACTCCCTCCACCGATGTCACCTTCCACAACACCGCACACACCTCACACACCTCACACATAACCCCCCTCCCACCCCCCCACCCCCCCTCAAACACACACCACAAACACACCCTCCCCCCCCCCCACACACACACATTTACCTATGCTCGACCCCAACTCCAACTACGAGTTCGACGCCCTCGACACAGCGCCGCCGGGCACCCCCATCGGTTTGCCACGTAGTCGGGGCGCCCGGCCTCCTCGCATGGCGCCGACTGGAGCAGGCATGGGTATGGGTATGGGCATGGGTATGGCTGGTCAAGATGCCGCTGACGACGCTCCGGGCCTCGGCTTTGATGCTGCCTTCTCCGCACTGGGCTCGGGCGCTGATCCTGCCCTGGCAGGCGCGGCGGCGCTCGGCGGCAAGATGCTCGCCGGTGAAGTGTCACGGATGCACTCGCGGGTACGCATGATGATCATCCCCTCCATCCCCTCCATCCCCTCCATCCCCTCTCTGCTCTGCTCTTCCCCCACGAACTCATCTCCTTCTCCCCACCCAGATCGACCGATGGATCGACCTCCCGGCGCTCCGCTTCTACTTTGCCGTCTCCAACTCGTACGTGCTGAACAAGTTCAAGCGGCTGCTGCTGCCGTTTGCCTTCAAGGAGTGGACGCCGAGAAACGCCAGCGTGAGCATGGAGGGCACGCCGCGCCGCCTTCCGCCGCGGGATGACATCAATGCGCCGGATCTTTACATTCCGTCCATGGCGCTCGTCACATACGTCCTCCTCTGCGCTTACGTCCAGGGCGTGCAGCAGCGGTTCACGCCCGAGGTACTCGGGGCCACCTTGACATCGGCGCTGGTTGCGCTCAGCATCGAGGTCCTTGTCCTCAAGCTCGGCTTCTATCTCACCAACTCGCCGCGTCCGCTGCCGTTCCTCGACGCTGTCGCCTTTGGCGGTTACAAGTACGTGTACATTGTCCTCTGCTCGCTGATCGGCATCAACTTTGGCTCGATGGCATTTACTGGCGCCATTGTCGTCGCCGGCATCCTCTCCTCGGTCTTTCTCGTCCGCGCCCTCAAGGAGTTCTTCGGTCCTGTCGATCGCTCGCTCTCCAAGCGCAACTACCTGCTCATCTTTGTCGTCGCCCTCCAGTTCATGCTCCTCTTCTTTATGGGTGCTTACTACGACACGCCTGCGCGGCCGACGCTTCCGGACGGCGCTCTGGAGCCTGCAGCCGCCGCTGCCACCACCGCTGCCGCTGCGGTCGCCGCCGGTGCTGCTGGCGCTGGCGCTGCTGCCAAGCCGTAAACACGCAAGTACGTGCCCATGTACACCGCTGGGTCAGACGGCAACCGTCGACGAGAACAGCATCTGTGGTGTAGACCACGGCCAGAACCCGTAGATCTCGCAGGTGAGCGTCTTGTCGGCACCTGAGACCCGAGCCACTCCGTAGTGGAACGACATCGACGAGAGGAAGAGCGTCTCGCTCCACCCGTCGTCGTCGCCAGACTTGATGCCTGGCTCGACGACCGCCAGCGTGTCCGGATGCGGAAAGGGGAGCGCCTGGAACGGCGATGCCGAGCACTCGTAGACGTGCGGCTCGGCAAAGCCGTGCCGATAGGCTGCGCCCCAGTGGGTGTCGCCAGAGAGGATAACGACGCCGGTGATGTTGGAGGCAGCGACAAAGGCGACAATGTCGCGCGTCTCGGTCGCAAACATGTGCCCATCGCCGTGCGGCGCCCACGAAACCGGCGAGCCGATGACCTTGAACGCAACGCCAGCCTCGTGGCTCGCCACCAACCACGCCAGCAGCGCTTCTCGCTGGTCCTGGCCGAGCATGGTCTTGCCCGCAGTGTCGGGCGCGTCGTTGCGGGATCGACCCGAGCGGGTGTCGAGCACAAAGTACGCCACGTCAGCCGAGTGTGCAAAGGTGTAGTACCGCGAGCCGGCAGCAACCGGCTCGGGGTTTCGGCTCCCCATCCACGCGTCATACGCAGCGAGCGCGTAGTCCAGATCCGGCGACGGGCCGCGGTCGTAGTCGTTTTCGATCTCGTGGTCGTCAAACATGGTGAGCACAGGGACCTTGCCCGCAAAACGCAGCAAGCTCGAGTCGGACCACGTCTGCTCGTATGCCACATCCGGCTCGAGATGCAGAAACGGGACCCATGCCCGATTGAGGTCGCGGTACATCAGATCGCCGAGCAGGAGCGCAAAGGCAGCGTCAGGCACGGTCGCAGCAATGTGGTCAAAGACAGCGAGCGACGCAAACGGCGGGAGCGCCATCCGCGAGAGGCATGAGCCAAAGACCCACGCCAACTCGTCGTCAGCAGTAAGCCGGGCTTCGGCTCGGCGCGCTATGGCAAACGATCCCGAGAGCAAAACTGGCTCTGGCCGCGAGCTGCCGACGACGACGGCGGAGACGGTCACCCGCTCGCCGGGCGCGCACCCGCAGCTCGCCAGCGGCAACTCCACCACAGTCATCCACCGCCGGCTCTCAGCGAGCTCAACGCCGATTTGCTCCGAGAGCCATTCCCCGCAGCGGGCCTCCACTACGCCAGACTCGCCGCCGACGACCCGAATCCAGATCTTGGCCGTCACCTCCGAGACGGCGCCCACCATGAGTCCGGCATCGAGCTGCGGCCGGAAGAAGACCGCCTGATGAACGAGGACTGCCAGCGGGACAAAGACAACAAAGAATACCAGCCCCGCGCACATCCCGCCTACAGCTGCCTTTAACGGGCTCGCCATCACAGGTAGCCAACCGAGATTACCCGTGGCCGAGTCGAACGAGACGAGTTTGGCCTTGGCCACACGGCGACTAACCAACCACACGCCGACCACGCCAGCCATCATCTCATCGCTATCACAGCCATCCCATCATCTACTCACATCCGAGTCACCGATCCCACCCACTCCCACTCCCACTCCCACCGCCACTACCACCACCTCCTCCTCTTGCAAACAAACCCCAAACCCATCCCTTTATCCCCGATCAAGTACCACATCATCACATCCCCCCCCTCTCCCTTCGGTGACATAAATCATTACAAACTTTTGCAAACCGCGCGCCGCCGCGAAACCAAGACCGCCACCCCTTCCCCCCCCCCTTCCCTCCCCACCCCTACCTCCACCACCACCATCATCACTCCACCTCTCCACCTCTCCAACGCATACCCTCTCCGCTTACATGCCGTTGTCGGCAAAGACGGACGAGAATACAGGGCCCCCTGGGGCAGGCGGACAGACCAAGGCGGCGACGACCACGGCCGGTCTGGCACGTGAGCTGAAGGAGGCGCACGCGCTCAATGCCCAGCTGAACAAGGTCATTGGCAAACTGCGGGAGCTGCGCGGAGACAAAGAGGTTGACTTGGCTGTGGAGAATGCCAAGCTGCGGAAGGCGCTGCGGAAGGTCTACGCATCGCGGGCAGAGGCCGAGGAGGCGGCAGCGGCGGCGGCGGTTGAGCGCGATGAGGCTATGGCTGCGCGAGAGGCTGCCGAGAAGGAGGCTGCCGCTGCTGCTGCCCGTATGGAAGCAGTCATGGCCGAAGACGCTGCAGAGCGGGCCCGGCTTCGCGACGAGATGCTTGCCTGGCGCCGCAGGGCCGAGGTCGCCGAGGCCGAGATCGCCCGCGCGCCGGCGGAGGCTCTGGCGGCGTCCGAAGCGCTGCACGCCGGCAAGGACGCACTCATTACCCGGCTGATGGCCAAGGTAGAGAACAAGCGAAACCAAGTTCTGCTGCTCCGTGGCAATCTGCGCGCCGCCCTGGACGTGGTCAACGCGTGGGCGGCGGCGGCCGGGATGGCGGCGCCGATGGCGGCGGCCGCCCCCGCGCGTAGCCTCCCGCGACCGGCCAAGAACGAGCTCTGGCCCGGCCTGGAGGTCCAGTCGCGGTCAGGCCTCACCTCGCTGTATCTTGCCGCGCTGCTTGGCCAGACCCAGGTCGTAGCGCTGCTGCTGGCGCACGGCGCCGAGCCCGCCACCAGGGTTGGCCCGTACGCCACCACTGCGCTGCACGGAGCCGCCGCCAACGGCCACCTCTCGACAGTCTGTCTGCTACTGGAGGCCGGAGCGAGCCCGTTGGCTCGCGACGTCAAGGGCCGCACCCCTTTGAGCCTGGCCACCGAGGGCGGGCACGCCGACGTTGTCGCTGTCCTCCTTGAGAAGCGCGGCGACGTGCCGCTCCCGCCGCCGGACCTCGATCCCACCCGTCACATTGCACCGGTCGCCTCATCGGCACTGCAAAGCCGCCTGACCAAAGCACTGCGGATTGGCGGGCGCCTCAAGCGCGGTGCTGAGCCGTCCGGCGCTCACGCCTGCCTCCATACCTCGATGATTTCGGCCGAAGCGTATCTGGCCGAGATGGCCCAGATCGATCCGGTGCTGCTCTCCAGCCTCGGCTGGGATCCCCAGGCGAGGACTTTTGTTGCTGCCCGCATGTCGGACGAGTGGCGCGAGGTGCTTGTCTCGGCGGGCGTCGCTGCCGACGAACTGAACGATGTCGAGACTCTGGCCTTTGTCACCGAGTTTGCCGAGCAGCATGGCGTGAGCGCATCGCCCAAGCGTGGTGCGTCGCGCTCGCCGTCGCGCCGCATTCGCCGCTCACGCTCGCGCTCGGTCCAGCCGCGCTCACCGTCAGCCTCGCCCATCGCTCGCTCGGGCACGCCGCCTTTCGGTGCTACCGCTACCGCTGCCGCCCCGCTAGCCCCTCCTCCTCCGCCGCCGCCGCCGCCACCGCCGCCGCTCCCTGCCGCACTCACGCACACTGCGGCTCCGCCGCCGCCACCGCCACCACCTCTGCCGTCGTCAGCAACGGCTCGCGCACCGACCGCCCTGCCGCCGCCGGCTGCGCCGTCGACGCCCACAGTTCCCGGCCGCGCATCGATCATGGCTTCGATTGTCGCCCACGAGGGCATTGCCTCGCTCCGCAAGGTCTCGCCCTCTGCGCGGCAAAAGGCCAAGGCCAAGGCTGCTGCACAAGACAATTCGTTTGTAGGCGCGCTCTCCCGCGCCCTCATCGACCGACGCTTCGGCATCGTCGACTCGGATTCAGAAGCCGACTCGGACCGCACCAGCGACTCTGGCGGCATCACCGGCGCCGACTCGGAGTGGGCATGCTCCGACTGGTACTAGACCAGGCCACCTCGTTACCCAACCGACCACTGTACTACTACACATCAAATCCTCCTTGCAACTCAACCTCGACCTCACTCGAGCTGCCCGAATCAATCAGTCGACCAACCCCACCCACGCCAGCAGCCAAGCCAGCCACCGCCAGCCACCGCCAGCCACCTCCAGCCACCGCCAGCTACTGCCCCACCCGCACCATCACCATCACCTTCTCACCAGCACACCTCACCCAGGAGTCACCACCATGAGTGCAGCCGCATCCGCCCCGCTGCCTGTGACAGTACGCCCTCCTCCCTCTCTCTTAACCCCATCCCCATTCCCCCCCCCCCCTCTCCCTCTCCCTGTCCTGTTCCATGTCGCTGTCTCCCAAGGCGCGAACGCGACCCGACCTGTTTTTCCTTCGACCAACCCCCCCCCCCCCCACACACACACAGCCATGCATAGCCACCCCCACCCACCCACCCACCCACCCACCCACGGTCACCTACAAGTCCCCACGCACACACATGCATCCATGTACATACATCCCCCCTCCGTTCCTCCCTCCCCTCACCCTCCCCCTTCCCCGCATAGAACCCACCCCATGCACCGGCCAAGACGGTGGACGTCAAGGAGATGTCGACCGACGACATGTACGAGCGGATGAAGGAGCTGGAGCGGGAGCTGCAGTTTATTGAGATCCAGGAAGAGTACATCAAGTACGAGCAGAAGAACCTCAAGAGGGAGTACCTGCGGGCCAAGGAGGAGGTCAAGCGCATTCAGTCGGTCCCGCTCACCATTGGTCAGTTTATGGAGATGATCGACGAGCACACCGGCATTGTCTCCGCCACCACCGGATCAACCTACTACGTCCGCATCCTCTCGACCATCGACCGCGAGCTTCTCAAGCCCTCGTCCACCGTTGCTCTTCACCGCTACTCGAACGCCCTCGTCGACGTCCTCCCGCCCGAGGCCGACTCGTCCATCACCCTCATGGGCCAGGGCGAGAAGCCCAACGTCAAGTACTCGGACATTGGCGGTGCTGACGTCCAGAAGCAGGAAATCCGCGAAGCTGTTGAGCTCCCGCTCACCCACCACGACCTCTACGCCCAGATCGGTATCGACCCGCCGCGCGGCGTCCTGCTCCACGGCCCGCCGGGCACCGGCAAGACCATGCTCGCCAAGGCCGTCGCACACCACACCGACGCCGCCTTTATCCGCGTCGTCGGCTCCGAGTTTGTCCAAAAGTACCTCGGCGAGGGCCCGCGCATGGTCCGCGACGTCTTCCGCCTCGCCCGCGAAAACGCGCCCGCCATCATCTTTATCGATGAGATCGACGCCATCGCCACCAAGCGCTTCGACGCCCAGACCGGTGCCGACCGTGAGGTCCAGCGCATTCTGCTCGAGCTCCTTAACCAGATGGACGGCTTTGACGTCTCTGTCAACGTCAAGGTCATCATGGCCACAAACCGGCCCGATACCCTCGACCCCGCCCTCCTCCGCCCGGGCCGCCTCGACCGCAAGATCGCCTTCCCGCCCCGGACCGCCGCCAGAAGCGCCTCATCTTCCAGGTCTGCACCGCAAAGATGAACCTCGCCGACGACGTCGACCTCGAGGAGTACGTCAACCGCTCAGACGGCCTCTCCGGCTCGCAGATCGCTGCCATCTGCGCAGAGGCCGGCCTCCTCGCCGTCCGCGGCAACTCCTTCATCGTCACCTCGCAGAACTTTGAGCAGGCATACGAAAAGTGCGTCCGCAAGGACGAGTCGGACCTTTTTATGTTCTACAGCTAGTCATAAACACCTTCGGCTGCCCCGTCAACTCTACCTCTCACTGCCGCATCTCGCGCAGCATCTGGTTCGTTCGCACAAGATCGACCCGCTTTCGTGCCTTGAGGTCCACGGGCAGCCGCACAGGCGTCATCGCCGCCGCTGCGTCTTCGCCCTCGTCAAAAGCAACCCGCACGTCGTCCTCTTCCGCCCGCCCGCGGCTCTCTTCGCCCTCGTAGCTCCATTCCGAGTACGAGTAAGAGTACACGATCTCGTCGTCATCGTCGCCGTTCCGCGCGGGCGCCCGAGCCGGCGCCGCCGTCACCACACGCGACGCAGCTGGCGCCGCTTTCGACACATCTCCGTTGCTCGCGGTCACGTCTACAATGGCCACAGCCTGTGCCACAGTCGGTGCTGTCTCCATCCCGTCCATCTGTGCCGACTTGGGCACCTTGGCCGTTTCTGCGCCCTCGCCGCGCTTGAACGAGATGATGTGTGACAGCGACATGAGACCCCACATCTGAGACCTTGCGTACATGAACAGACCGACAAGGTACCCGATCTGGGCAAAAACGCCCAGCGCCACTCCCACAAACGCGAGCACGTCAATCGTCGTCGACTCCACGCCGAGCTGCTCGTCCGCCACAAAGTTGACGACCACAATGTAGAGCGAGGCAAAGACAAGCGCAAGCGTCCACACGTTCTGCCACTTGGCCTCAAACGGCGCATGTAGCAGCACACCCACAAGCCCCAAAAGCCCAAGCTCCGCCACCACAAACCCAAGCACAGGCAGCCGCACAAGCATGTACCCGGCAAACGCGAGCGCAAAGTGCACGCCGCCCAGCACAACCACAAGCCAGTGCCAGAGCTCATAGTCGGTAATGTCGTAGAGCACGCCGAACCGCGCCATGTTCGCCTCCTCACCGAGCACTCCCGTCCCGTGCCGCACGTACCCGATGCCCACAGCCACCGGACCGCCGATGACAACCACCCAGCCCAGCATGGCAAACAGGAACTCGACGCCATGCACGCCCACAAAACACTCTTGCGACGCGTGTGCCACAAGCCAGAGCGAGCCAAGTGCAGGCGCGCACGCAACCCCCTGAATCGACACCTTGCTCATCAGCGGGTACATCACAAGGCTGACCCCGAGCACGCCCCGTACAAGCCGCGCCTCAAAGAAGCTCCGCCCGCCGCCGACGTTCGCCATGCCTGCACCCCACGCCAGCGCCGCCACAACGCTCACCATCACAACCACAGCTGCGATGGAGCCAAAGAACACAGACTCAAAGTTGCGGCTCGCCGCGCCCGCTGTGCATCCAGCACGAACAAACTCCACATCGAGCGTAAACAGTCCCAGAAAGTGGTAGTAGGCTCGCGCAAAGCTCGGCACCCTCGAACCGGCCCCCGCACTCGCCGCTCGCACCAGGCCAAACAGCACCATCATCCACATCGCCTGTGCATGTGCCGTCGGATCCTTCACCCACACACTCACGCCCACAACTCCAAGCGCGACTCCCAGATACAGCAGCCAGTACAGCGCAAGTACAAACTTGGAACCGCACTTGATGCACTCGTCGCCGTCCAGCGCATACCCGTCAGCGCACGATCCGCAGAGCCATCCCGAGTATCCAGCCGCACATCCCGAGTACGGGCCTCCTGTACACCGCGACGCATCGTGGCAAGCCGCCACAACCTGTGATCCGAGCCCGGGCGACCAGTACCCGGGCAACGGCACAATAACGTTGCCGCCCGGACACTTGGCTCCAGCAGGGCAGCTCACACATTCATCGCCGACTCCCACCACTCCCGCCTGTGGGCAGTCGCGCGCGTATGTCAGCGAGCCCGGTGCAACCGCGATCGACCCGTCCGGATTCACCAGACGCACCCACACCGTCGCCGGTGAGCTTACAGCTGGCGCCCGGAACATCACGTCGGTCGAGCCCAGCACCACAAGCTCCACTCCGCCAGGCCGTACCACAGACGACCCGTCGGTCTCGGCAAAGAATCCAAGTGCAGGGGGGCTGCCCACGCTCGGCAAACTCGCGTTGAGCCACACAGAGAGGCCCTCAACAAAACCAGCACCGCTCACCGTCACAACCCCGCCCGAGAGTGGAACAACCGCCGGCGCCATCGAGACCACGCTCGGTCGGCCCACGTCGGCGTTCGTTCCGCCCACAACCTGGTCACTCCGTAGCGTGATGCCTGCCCACGCGGGATCGGGCGACGTCGTCGGCCCAAAGCTGATACAAACTGCGTATCGCCGTCCGCCACCTCGTCGGCAACGCCCACGACTACCACCGACGCTGGCGTCGCCCACGTCAGTGGCGTAAACAGGAGCGACGGTGGCTGCAGCCGCACCTCACCTTCAGGACTCGCCACCAGAGGCACACGCACCTCGCCAGACGGTTGTGCCGTCAAAGACACCGTAAACACGTCGCCCTCGCCAGACTCGGACGTCGCCAGCTCCGCAATCGACGCGGCCATAGACCCGGCCCCGAGCTGCACGTCAAAGCCCACCGCGTCGCCAACATCCACGTTGACCAGCGCCACGCTAAGCCCAGAGAGCCCAACAGCCACTGCGTAGCTCACATCGCCATCCACAAACTGGTCGTCAACGCCGGTCACCTCAACCATGTGTGGCACAAGCCAGCTTCCGGCTCCCGGTGGCACAAACTCACACCGGCTTCCAGCGGTCACCACGCCCTCGCTCACGTCGCTCGAGGTTACCTCCACGGACAGCGCTGCGAGAAGCGGCTCTCGTGGCAGAACCTCGAACCGCACAGCATCACCGGCCTCGGACGTAGACGAGCTCGGTTCGGGTGCGGATGCCACCATCGCAAAGCTCCCGTCGTCGTCGACTACAAAGCCAGCCAGGACACGAACACCCAGCGCTGCGTACCCGACATCGGCCGTCGACGCCATCCCCAGCGAGATGTAGAACCGGTCCAACCCGAGCCCGTTGACAAGGCTATCGTCCGCCACAGACACCCGCACAGGCTGCGGTGTCGACCACGACGCCACCGTAAACGTCAGCACTCCGCCCAGCGGTGCCTCGAGCGTCATCCGTGTCGCCGCAGACCCGCTCAGGCCCACAGGCACAGACACCGTCGATGACGGTCGTGACGCAAGTGCCACAGAAATCTCTGCTGCACCGCCGGCCACGCTTCTCGCTTCGTACACCACCACGGGCACCGTGCCACTCGTGGCATACGCCACCGCATCGTCGTCGAGGTTATACACTAGATACGGCCCTGCCCAGATGCCGGAAAACCGGGCGTCGGTGCTCACTCCGCCGCCCACAAGCACTTGCAGGTCAGCGTCGCCGTCAGGCACACCGTCGTCAAGCCCGCGCAACGTCACCGTCTGTGGCAGCATCCAGTTCGCAGGACCAAAAACAAGTGGCGAGCCGCTCACAACCTCAGCTTCGGCCACCGTCGAGCCAATGCCGGACCCGCCAGCGGCGCGCGCATACAGGTTCACTTCGAACGAGACGTCGGCGTTCGGCGGTCCACCAAGTACAAACACGAGCTCGCTCGTTCCTCCAGCCTCCGTCAAGTTACCAATGACGCCACCAGCATTGACGAGCACCAGGCTTGGCGACTCGTTGTCCACGTTGACGCACGAGTAGTTCGAAATCTGGCCAGAGTACACCGCGTCCGATGCCGTCAGCGGACCAATATCAAGCACAACCGCTTGCGCCCCATCGAGTTCGGTGTCGTCGACCGGAAAGACTGCCACAGACTGCGGAACGTCAAAGTCGGCAGGCTCAAACACAAACTCGCCATCACTCCACGGTACATACCCAAGGCCGCCAGCAACGCCGAGCTTACCCTCGCTTGCGTCGCGGAGCGAGATCGGGACACGTACCTGAGACGACGGCCGTGACGTGAGGACAAAGTCCAACACCACGCCGCCGCCCGACCCGCCGGTCGCCAGCGCGTCGGCCTCGTACACCACTCCGCGCGAGTTGTGCGCAGAGACAAAGACCTCGGCCCGGTCGTCGTTGATGGTGATTCCGGCAACAGTGTAAGGCCCCAGACCGTTGTACGCTCCGTCACCAGAGACAAGCGGCCCAAGTGTCACGCTGTACGCCACGTCTCCGTCTGCCTCGTCATCGTCGACTCCAACAACCGCCACCACCCGCGGTGTCGCCCATGTCGCCGGATCGATCCGCAGCACAAAGTCAGAGACAAGCGCGCCCGACACAGGGTCGCGCACAAGAGCCTCGCTCGTGTCCGACACGGCCACAGACATCACCACCTCAAAGTATGGCTGCGAGGTGAGCGCAAAGCTAAAGGTCGCGTCGGCGTGGCCAAACGCCTCGTACGTCGGTCCCGACATCGCCGTCACGCTCACGCCAGCCGAATCGCCATCCTCGCGGTTGACAAACAGTGCGTCGAGCGTGTGCCCGTCGTAGTTGGACGCCGGCGTCGAGCTCGACGGCCCAATGCGCACGCTGAACGGCACGTCGCCGTCGGCAAAGGCGTCGTCCACTCCGGTCACTGTCACCGCCACCGGTGTGTCCCAGCTCGCCACGTCAAACGAAAGTGAGCTCGGTGCCACCCGGCCCTCACTCACATCCAGCGAGGTGAGCCCGACGTTAACTTGGGTTCCGGCCGGTGGCTGCGAGTTGAGGCGAAGCGTGAACGTGACCGAGCTCCCAGTCTCGTCCACAAGCTGCGGGACACTGGTTGATCCCCCGCCGCCAAGCACAAGCCCGGCCGTGTCGCCATCGTCGTTGTTAACCAGCGTCGCCGACGCTGTGAGGCCAGTGAAGAGCGCGTCTCCAGAGACCGACGGGCCAAAGTCGAGCGCGTAGCTCACGTCCCCGTCGTCCACAAAGTCGTCCTGTCCATACACCGTCACCGGCTCAGGCGTCGACCACGACGCCGGATACAAAACGATCCACGAGACTACAGGTCGACCCTCGCTCACGTCACGCGAGACAACACTAACGTTGACTGGCGCCCGTGGAATCGAGCTCAGCGCCACGCCCACGTTGGTGAATGACGTTGAGCCCGGAGTCTCGGTCGTCGTGTACGCCGGGCTCGAGAGCGGTGTCACCACCAGGCCGGCTACATCGTTGTCGATGTTGGTGTTGTTGAACACCACAGAGAGACCCTGGTATCCAGCGTCTGACGACGACGCCGTCAGTGTCACGGTGTACACCTGGTTGCCGTCCGGATACAAGTCATCCACCCCGGTCATGGTCACCACACGTGGCGACGACCAGTCCGAGGTTGAGAAAAGGAGTGACGACGGCGAGACCGTCGCCTCGTCCACCCGAGACGACGCTACGTTGACCGTCACCGACGCCGACGGCGCAGCCATCAGCGAGACCGTCACCGTGGCAGACGAACCGGCTTCGGACGTAAAGCCCGACGGTGATGAGACGTAGATTCCTGGTACGTCGTTGTCGTAACACACAAGTGTCACAGGTGCACGTGTCAAGCCCGAGTACGCCCCATCCGACGAAACCGCCGCTGCAAAGTCAATGTTGAATGCAACATCGCCGTCGGTGATGGCGTCGTCGACACCGGTCACCACAACTTCGACGCCTGCTGAGTACCCACTCGGTGTGATAGTAAACACCGTCGGCCACACTGTGCCTTCGCTCGGGTCCGAGCTCGAGACTGTGATCGTCACATTGGCTGCGAGCCGAGGTACACCCGAAAGTTGGCTGTTCCGCCGTCTTCGGTCACCCGCCCAGAAACCGGCGTCACCAAAATCCCGATCACGTCGTTGTCCTCAGTCGTCACCATCACCACTTGCGAGAGTCCGTCGTACTTGTCGTCGGCAGAAACGCCAGGGCCGACCAGGAAGCCAGTCGTCTGTGGGCCGTCCGCCGCCGCATCGTCAACGCCCACCACGCTCACCGTCTGCGGCACGTTCCAGTCCGACGGCGAGAAGACAAGAAGCGACGGTGAGCCCGGAGCCGGTGCAAGCTCGGAAGAGTCCAGCGCTTGCAGCGGGAACGACGTCACACTCACCGTCGGCTGTGAGCCGAGCACCACCGTGAACGAGGTCCCCGTCCCAGCCTCGGAAACCGTCGAGCCCGGTGCGGATACAAGGAGCGCCGCGGTGTCGTCGTCGATGTTGTACAGCTGCAGCGGCGGAGACACTAGGTTACGGTACGCCACATCGCTTGACGCCGCCCCGTACGTCTCGGCCCGGACGTTGAACGTCACATCGCCGTCGTCGACGCTGTCGTCGACGCCGCCAATCTGGACCGCCACCGGAGAAGACCACGCGCTGGCAGGGAACACAATCGGCATCGCCGGCGAGACAACTACGCCTTCGCTTGCGTCGTCGACAACAACATACACCGAGACCGGGCCGTAGGGTCGCGACGTGAGCGAGACGCGGGTCTCAACCGTTGTCCCACTGCCGCCGGCCTCGGACGTGTTGCGAATGCCGGGACCAAAGGCCAGCGACAGCCCGGCCACATCGTTGTCAAGGCACACCGCCGGCACCGGATCGTCGACCGTGTCCGAGTACGACCGGTCGTCGGAGAGGAAAGGCCCAAGCACAACTGAGAAGCTCACGTCGCCGTCAGCTTCGTTGTCATCGGCGGGTGTGAGCACCACGCTCTGTGGCACGTTCCAATTGAGTTCGTCGTAGACCAGAAAGTTTGGCGACGGCGAGCCCTCGGTTGCATCTGACGTCCCCAGCATGACCACAACAGGCGCCAAAGGCTGTGCGTCAAGGACCAGCTCAAAGTTGGCGGTCGCACCGGCCTCCGAGACGCTGAGCGGGAGCGGCGGTACAGGCGCCGCAAGTGACGCGCCTGGACACGTCCCCGAGTGCCACACGCCGCCACACGAGCCGGCGTATGGACCGGCAGCTGATCCAAACGAGCACTCGTAGCTCGGAGATGTAGCCGGCCCGGTAGCACAGAATCCGCAGTCGGCGTTGGCGAGACAAGCCGAGCACGACGAAGAGTTGCACGCCACGCACTCCGAGTACTGCCACGCCGGGCACGAGCCAAAGGCTTGGCCGCCGGCGTTACCGACCTCGCACTGCGAAGTCGCCGCGCACCATCCGCACTGGCTTGCCGCCGTGCACGAGGTGCAATCGCTAAATGAGCACGTCGGGCCGAGGCCCCAGTCGCCGACAATCGGGTCCGACACGTCGCGCGACGGCAGAGTCCGCGACGACGCGTCACGCACGTCGCCGATCACCGTCACTGTGAGCACGTTGATGCCCGGCGGTGTGGCCCCGGTGGGATCGACGACCGTCATGACCAGCACAGACGGCGTCGACCACACCCCGGTGTAGTCAGCGCCTAGCGACTGCGAGAACGAGAAGAGCACGTCAAGCTGCGCCTTGGTCGACGCTGGCGGCACGTTGGTTGACATCGAAAACGAGATGGTCAGCGTGTCGCCCGCCGAGTAGAAACCGTCCGCGTTGTCCGGGTCGTCGGCAAGAAAGCCGACAATGGTCGGTCCGGGCAGCAGGCCCCAGTCGCCGGCGAGCGGCGGCGAGCTCGAACGCGACGGAAGTGATGTTCCGGCTGCGTTGGTCAGGCTGCCGATGACCGAAACAACAGAGACCCCGAGCTTTGGTCCGTCGCTCGGGTTGCTCGGTGTTGTCGAAAAGGTGACTACCAAGACACTCGCCGACGACCACGAGCCGGCGTACGCCGAGCCAAGCGAGGTGGTGTTCGAGATGGCGAAGAGGGCGTCAAAGGCGGCCTTGGAGCTGGCACTCGGCTGGTTGGTCGGCTGCGAAAAGACAAGCGTGAGTGTGTCGCCAGACGAGAACACCGCATCAGCGTCGTCGGGATCGTTGGCAGTGGCACTCACCAGCTCCGGTCCGGCAAGCAGGCCCCAGTCACCCACCAGCGGCGGCGAGGTTCCGGTGGCAAGAGCTGATGTGGGTGGCGCCGAGCGCAAGCCGCCAGAGGGCTTGATCGATACAGTGAACGAGCCGATGGTCGGCTTGGGATCAGATGTGACCGGTGAGACAATGGTGAGTACCGCCATTGTCCCGTTGAGCCACGTTCCGCGATAGTCCAGTCCGAGCGGAGTCGAGAACGCAAAGTAGGTATCGACCTCGGCCTTGCTGTTGATCGACGGCACTGTGGTCGAAGTGTTGAACACAAGCGTCACCGTGTCGCCAGTCGAGTACAGTGCGTCGCCGTCGTCGGGATCGTTGGCCACAATCGAGATTATGTACGGACCAGGCGCAGTGCCCCAGTCGCCGCCAGCGGCCGGCGACTGCGATGACGACGGGAGCGACGACCCATCCTGGTTCCGCAGATACGGCGCCGTCGCCGAGTTGACCACAACCCGAAACGCAAGGTCGCGGATGGCGGTCGAGGCCGACGCCACGTCGGTGATGGTGATGACCAACGTCGACGGGGTTGTCCACACACCCGTCGCGCCCGAGCCGAGCGCAAGCGTCGGCGTCGACGCACTCGCTGGAATAAACCGAAACAGGTGGTTGATCTGGGTGAGGGTGCCTACCGGCGGGCGGTTCGTGGCCTCGGAAAATGTCAGCGTCAGCGTGTCGCCCGACGAGTAGATGCCATCAGCATCGTCTGGGTCGTCAGCGACAACTGAGACAAAGGCCGGACCGGGCAGCAGGCCCCAGTCGCCACCGAGCGCCGGCGACTCGGTGTTGCAAAACCGTGAGGTCTTGGCCGAGTTGGTCAAGTTGCCAATGCATCGGATGGTGGAAAGGCCGATGACCATGTCGGCTCCGGTAGTGTCGAGGAGCTCGATGCGGAGGACCGAGTCCGAGCTCCATGAGCCGGCGTACGAAGTGCCGAGCGAGTTGGAGAACGAAAACTGAAGGTCGATGTCTCCGGTCGTTGCCACCTTGGGCCGCGACGTCGGACCGCTAAAGACAACAATGAGGACATCGCCGTTGGAGAGGACACCGTCTGCATCATCGGGATCGTCGGCGGTAAACGAGATCACTCGCGGGCCAGGTGGAATGCCCCAATCGCCCGTGATCGGCCCAGATGCAGCCGTCGACGCCAGAGAAGTCTGGTCGGCCGAGCGGAGGTTGCCTGAAGCAAGGATAGTGACCGAGGCGACACCGATGGCAGGCGCCGAGTTACCACTCGCACCGGTCGGGTCGATGACAGTGATGACAAGGTCGAGCGGAGTGATCCATGTCCCGGTGTAGTTTGTCCCGAGCGCCGATGAAAACGCCAGCAGAGCGTCGATGCTGTCCTTGGTGTCAACGGGTGGCTGGTTGGTGGCCTCGGTGAAAGTGAGTGTGAGCGTGTCGCCGACGGAATACACGTCGTCAAGATCATCGGGGTCGTTGGCAACAAACGAGGCAACGGCCGGGCCGTTGCGGGTGAACTGGTAGGCCCAGAGCTCGTTGTTTGCCGATGCGGCGTCGTAGCCGCCAAAGCAGTAGATGTAAAGTTGTGACTTGACGCAGGCCGGTGAGGCTCGGCCGGTCGGCCAAGGTTGGGTCCCGGCCTTAGCCTTGCTTCCCATCTCGACCCAGGTCTCGGTGAGGAACGAGTAGCGCCAGACGTCCGAGTGGTAGATGACCGAGGAGGTGGTGTCGTCAAAGCCGCCAAATAGATACATGTACGGCTCTGCGCAGACAAGAACGGCCCCGCGCGGGCCGGCGGCAGCGCCGACGCCGGGTTGAACACCTGCGACATGGTGAGCGTGTCGACATCCAGCCGCCACAGGTCCTGATTCGGAAGCTGCGGCGAGCCAAACAGTTTGCCGCCAAAGATGTACAGCGACGAGTTGCACATCGTCGATGAGTGGAGGAACCGCCGCTCCATCCATGCCGCGCCGCCCGGGCGGTCGATAAAGGTCCACGGCGAGTCGCCCAGCGGACCGGTGTCAATGGCAGCGTCGTACGAGTACACTGCATCAAGTGCGGTCCCAAGCGGTGTCCGGCCAGCCGAGAGCCAAGCTAGATTGGAGATTGTCGATGTGTACGACATGGCGGCGTCGGTAATGGCCAGCGGGAGGTCGTAGCCGCGGCGCCAGACCATGGTGTCGAGGTTGAGCAGGCCGATTTTGCGCTGCGAGGCCGAGATCTGCGAGACGAGGGTGTTCCCGATAGCAGCACCAACATGCCCCGATGATGCTGCCGGGACCGACGACAGCGACGCCGCCGCCGTCGGTGTATGCCTGGTGAAGGCCGGGACGGCGGGTGGGGTGCTCACCGAGAGCGGGAACGACCAGATGTCCGACGACGTCACCCCGGGTCCACCGCCATACATATACATTCTCGAGTTGTACCCCGCAGCAAGGACACCTACACATATACCACCATGTCAGTGTGAGTGGGTGGTGCAGGGGAAGGACGGTGGAGCGAATGAGGGGAAGGGGGGGAGGGCGGGGCCGGGGGGGGGGGGGGGGGGGGGCGGGGTCGGCACCCAAAGAACGCGCCAAGATGGCGGGAAAGGCGGCGACGTACCCGAGCGAGGCGAAGGTCGGCTGGTTGCAGAAGCATCATTGGCGTAGAGCTGGACCCAAGAGTTAGGCTGTCCATGGGCAAAGGCTGCAAGTAGCGTCAGTGCCACTATGGCCGTCTGTGTCAGAGTCCACCCCGACATGGTCCCACGAGAGCTGTGCCAAAGACTTGGGTGGCTTGGCCTTGGCGCGTGTTGAGTGGCAAAGTGGGGAGGTTGGGCGGTGGTGACATGCCGGGTCGGCGACACCGTCTGATGACAGGTGCGGGGGGAACGGAGGCAGGGGAGAGCCAGAGGCATGATGATGATGCAGGGTGGAGGATGGAGGGGACTTGGGGTGGGGGATGCGGGTTGGTGGTGGTGGTGGTGTTAGTAGGGGACCGGGGGGCGTTGTAAGGCAGCGCGCGCCTGGGCACTCGCGCTTGCAACGTGGAACACTGACAGAGCGTTGACTGATAACCCTAAACGGTACGGTCGTTCGGACCGTTGTCGCGCGTCTCAAAGTGAACAGCTCGATGATGCTTGACTTCCAGCTCACCGGCCGGCGCTGCCACTCGGGGAGCTTGGTTGAGAGCTTGGGGTCGCCCTTGGCGATGAACGAGGCGACGATGTCGGCAATCGACACCCTCCCCTGGCCCTTGAGGCGGTCGCTGGGCTTGGGCTCGTAATCGCCGGCGACAACGACCAGGCAGCTGGCCAGCGAGACGCGTGCGAGCTCGCGGTGGAGCTTCTTCTCGGCAAACTCGGGCTCCGTCGAGCCCTTCTGCTGCTGGTACTTGGAGTTGAGCGCCACCCGCTCGGCGCGTGCCGAGTAAGCGTTGACTCTGAGCGCCGTGAGGACCTTGTCGAGGACGAGCATGTCGCGCGACGCAAACGCGCCGGCGAGCGCCGTCGCGGAGCGCGGCTTGTGCGATGGACAAATTTGTCCATTCCGTACCGTAAAGGGATAAGGCTGGGGTGGCGATTGACAATGATGGCAGCGAATGGAGCTGGGAAGGCCTAATCGCGGCGCGGCCGCCGGTGAACGAGGGAGGTGCGGGGCGATGACGATGGCGTCGAGGCCAAGTTGCGGCTCGCCGCCGCCGCTGGCGTGAGAGCCCGGGCAATGTGTGCCCGGCCGGCGGGATGGTGCTCGCCAACGTAGGTGCCAAAGATGCGGTCCCAGTACATGAGCGGGGTGGCGTAGTTTGCAGTGACAAGCTTGTGATGCAAATCGTGGTCAACCGTCGAGTACCACGAGCCAAGGCGAACGGTGATGCCCGAGTGGTCGAGGACGCCTGAGACGCCGTGCATGGCAAAGTAGGCAAGGAAGCCAAAGATGTGGATGGAGAAGAGGACCGGCGGCGCGAAAAGGATCAGGTAGAAGCCGATGGCCTCGAGCGGGTGGATAAGGAGGTCATCAAACGCCGAAGGGTTGCGGGCCTTGTGGTGGAACTTGTGAAAGGTGGCGTAGAACCAGGGAATGTGCATGACCCGATGCCAAAGGTACTGCGCAAGCTGCTCCGAAAGCACCGCCGCTGTCGTGCCGACAGCCAGACCGTACGCCTGGCTCCGCGCCGAGTCCCATGGCCACACCATGTACGAGGCGCCGGCGACGACGATGTGGACTAGGCCGGCGGCGGCGAGGGCCGACGTGAGCAGATTGACCGAGGCAAAGACTGGATGCTGAGCGATGCGCCGCTTGGAAGCAAAGGCGGCAGCGCGAGCCGGCAGCCACCAGACCATGCAGTCTTCCGGCGTGTCGACAATGAACGACGAGGCGTCGGCCGCGCCAGCGGTGCGCCAGGCCGACGCTGCCGCTGCCCGGGCCTCGCGGGTCTCTTGCTTGGCGGCAGCGGTGTAGAACGCAAGCTGCAAGACAGTGGAGAAGCCAATGTAGAACAAAAGCATGCCAACAAAGGCGTACGCTGCCGCCGGATAGGTGCATGCTCCGCTCAGCGCGGAAGGCAAGCACAGAGAGGCGACCGCCGACGGGAACGGAAGCTTCAGCTCTGGGCCGTGGCCAGCCACCCTCACGCCCGCTGCCGCAAACGCCACCACCGGCACGCCCACAACCCCCAACAGCACTGGACCCCACACCCAGGGAGATCTAAATGCGTCGTCCTTTCCCATGACGCTGGAGAGAGAGAGGAGTGTAGGTATGGAGAGCGTTTACGAAGAGGAGGAGAGGGGGGAGGGGGGAGGGGAAGGGCGGATCGACTTGACCAGCCCCTGCGCCCAGACGACCCCCCCCCCCCCACCTGCCCATGCCTGGGCAAGCAATAACATGTGGATATAGTCGAATCTGGAGCTAGACGAATGATCGAGATGGAGACATGTGCAATGGGATGGGATCGGCATGGCCATTCCGACTCATCCTCATGCCTGTCTCTGCTGTCCTCATACCGAACAGCACCTGCACACCCACTCCTCTCAACGCCACATCTACGGCCACCCTGCAAGCATGTACTCGCTGGCGCCTCTCTCTCTCGCATGTGCAACTATTTCTGGAAGCTATGAGCAGACTGTTGATGGCCCGACTGGTGCGCTGAATGCCCTTGCCGACGCCCTGCCTGGCGTGGTCTCCGCATGGTTGGCCAAGCGGACGACGACGGCGGCGGTGACGGCCACCCTCGTCCTGCCCTCGACACTATTTACCCGGATCGAGCCCATTACTCAGAAGGTGTACTCACGTTCGCGCATGGGTCTCTCTGTCATCCTCGCCTTCAAGCACTTCCTTGCCGCATCAGATCCGCCCTTGTCGTCGCGCATTCCCACGGGTCCGTACATCTCGCCATATCTCTCGCTTGAGGCTTCATCCACCTCCGAGACGGAGACTACCCGCGATGGTGCGTCCTCCGCCCATCACTCGGCCCAGTGGCTCGACATCGACATTGGTGCCGTCGTCGGTTATCGCTGGGTCCTTGCCGACCACATCGCTGTCGAGGTCTACGCTGGCGGCTACCTGCCTGTCGTCGACAAGGCGCTCGCGTCGTCATCGTTTGCTCTCGACGATGCCTCTGACGACCACGCCGCCCGCTTCCGCACTGCCATTAACGATCTCTACTCGGGAATCGACCCGTCGCCGCTTGCCTGGGACCACGGCAAGCTGCTGGCCACGCTTCCTCACCTCCGCGCCGGCTTTTCCGTCGTCTTTACCCTCTGAACGGGTGCACATCGGCCCATCAAACGTACACACACACAAACACACACCACACGTCTTCTCGTCATACCTATGATGCGGGTTCTTGGTCTGCTGCCGTAGGCGCAGCGTCTGGTATCGCTGTAGGAGGCTTGGCGGGCAGAGCAGAAGCCGCTGCCGGCTTGAATTGCATGTTCTCGAGCCTTTTCTGGCGTTTGCGCTCGCGCTGGCGTTGCTTCTTGGCCTCGCGCTTGCGCTTTTTCTTGGCCGCTTCAGCATCGAGGCGGGCCTGGGTATCAGCGACCTTGCGGGCGTACTCTGCCTGGGCCTCGAGCTCCCGATCGAGATGCTCCAGCCGCTCGAGGCGATCACGCTCGAGGTTGCGCGTCTTGCGGTAGACATCAAATCCAGCCGATGACGCACCGGCGGTGGAGCCAATGACATGCTGGGTGGTGTTGAGGATGCGCGCGTCGGTGTTGATAGCCGCGAGGGCCGCATCTGCGCCCGCGATCTTGGCCGCCGTCACCTCGGCCACCGCATCGGCCGGTCGGATGCCAGCCGCGCGAGGCGCCACCGTCTCAGCACCCTCTGCTGTGGTGGAAGAGTACATCATAGCCCGTGGAACCTGAGGACGAGCAAGCGGAGCGTATGCGGCTCTCCCGCCAGCCTTGGCCACCGCTTCCACCACATCGATCTTTGTCCCGCGCTTTCCCTTGCTCCGGGCCGTCAACAAGATGTCCTTCATGTGAGAGGGGGGGGGGGGGGGG